GGACTTCCTTCTCTACCTCCCGCCCCTCCAGCTCAAAAAAAATAATAATAAAAAATAGCCCTTTTCTCTTCCCCTTTGCTGGCCCCTGTTGCAGAAAACCTACTCCTGAATTCTCTGTACCACAGAAATAGGGTAAAAAAAAAAAAACAAATGAAAAGGTATCCCATCTTCTTTTAAAAGTTCAAGTGAATTCCTTCTTGACCTTGGCACAATACTAGCAGCCTTTCTGACACACAAAGATTATCCTAATTAGCACATACACCCATAAATATTATTTCTATTGTGCTAGTTTGGTGGGGTTTTTGTTAGTGGGGGAGAGGCCCCATAGGTAGCTCCAGTAAGAAGCTGAGATGCTCCCCCCAGCTCCAAGCCCAGCCAAGGAACCATTAGAGAGAGAATAGATGTGCCTCTGCGATGAACATGTGAAAGAACTGAGATAAGAGCTGAGCAGAGTGAGCAGTTAGAAGGAGAAGAAGGAAGGGGTGGGGGTAATGTATGTAAGCACTGCTCTCTGTGTTGTCTTTGTCCTGTGTGCAGCTGATTAGTGTGAAATTAAATTATTATTTTCCCCAAGTTGGGTCTGTTTTGCCCATGACCTTTATTGGTGAAGAACCCTCCTTATCTTTGTCTCGACCCAGGAGCTTCTAGTTGGTTCTTCCAGCCCCGGTTTTTTGGGGGGGGGGGGGGGGTCAGGTGGCTGGTTCTTCATTGTCATGTTAGGCCCAAGCCACAAGAACTACTAAGGCTATATGGCCCCCATTTTAGAACTCCAGTACTTCTATCATCCTCTGTAGCAAAGCAAAAATGGAACTTGTAGGCTATGACTAAGTAGGCATGTAAAAAGGGGTCTTAATTTTTTTATTAGCTAAAAAGCTGAAGACAACAAACCTCAAAAGAAAGCAAGCAAATAAGGTAATACCTGAAAGTAATCTGTGATGAAGGATCCAAGTTCACTCTTCAGCAGCCATCTGTAGACAGAAGGAATGCAGCCATGAAGGAACAGCCATTGCTGGACATTTCTTACAGACATATCCACACTATACTATCAGTCATACCAAAGTTACATGAGTTTATGTGAATGTGTCATTTTGGTGACAGTGTAATTTATTTTACAGTTAGGTATATATTCTACAAATGCCCATGAAGGCTGTTCTCAAATTTTGAAGAAACAGTTTCTCTTAAGTTTTTTATTTATAAGCCATACACCTAGAATGGGGGGAAAAAAAATGTACCTCCCTGAATGCACAGAAAGTTGAGGAGACCATTTGAAGTTAGTTTGAATTTCATAATTTTTTCTGCTTTGATTAAAACAATGATATCTTTTATTTCACTGAAAACAGCATATCTCCCTAATACTGGCATGATACGGAGAGGAGCAGTGAGGCAAACACACAATCAGAAGCTCTGGCTTTCCCATGACTACTAAAAAAGTCCCAAGTATTTCTGATAAAAACTGTTGATAAAAGTTCTAAAGTCTAATATGCATTTACATTTCAAACTTTGATATAAAAATCAGCATTGTTTTACATCAGAAGCATTAAAAACCCCAATTCAAAGTTGCATTTGTACTTTCAGCTTTCAGTAACTATGAGCATAAATTCTGTAGTAGTAAATTCTGCAGCTGTAAATTCTGCCTAATATTTGAAAGATGCCCAACACTTTCCACTTAAAATCACTGCATATTTTTGCTGTTCTAAGAGTTTTGCTTTTCACCAACACGCAGCATAACCAAGAGTGCTCAAAAATGGCATTTGAATCAGGGACCACCCAGTTCTCAGGCTGGGCTCCTATAAAAAAAACACTCCAATTTATTCTCATATTTTCTGAAAGTTAATTTTGACAGTAACTCCCCTCCATAACCATTTTGTAACACTTCCACATTTACTTGCATGCCAACATGCCTTTACTTTTTCTCTCTCACGGTGGTTATATTCACCTTGCCTATCTCAAAGCACATTTCTATGAGATGGATAAACCATGTAACTCTTTGGGGCTCTGTTTCCCATGGGCTGATTGACAAGTCCATGGCAGGACTTGACCTGACACAGGTAGATCACCAGCTGGTGGCTAGCACCCTAGAGAGAACCCAAGGGAGATGGGAGAGGTCTCCTCCTTATCATGGCCAGGTCACCTCTTGCTTCCTTAAACCTGATCTCCCAATGCCATTTCTTACATTTCCTCTTCCTGTGACAACTGACTTTCAGAGCAGTTAAAAACTATTTTTTTTTAAAAAAAAAGTATCCAGTCAGATGATACCAAATCATGGCATAAAAATTTGGTGGCAGCAATCCAGAGGAAAATGTTACCACCTGCTCATCTCCTGGTCCTGTCATTATGGTCTTACTTTAAAATTCTCCTGCATTTCTCACTGTCAAATAACATAGCACAAAAGTTGGCCATCAGACAGGTCTGCCTTTTTGCCTCAGGTCAAGCTAGAGAGTCACCTTGAACAAACAGAACTAAGATTGTGTTGGGAGATACATCTAGAGTCACACGTGCAAGGCTGCAGGTGTGCATAGAAACATACATGCAGATGAATGTTCTTTGCTCCTTAGATGAACATTAACAAGCTACTTGAACACTAGTGGCCTATTTAGAGAATGACATTTGGAGATGTAACTGATACTCAGGGCACCTGCAGGAACATTAATCATTAATTTCAAGGTGAGAGCTTCCAAGTGCTGCCTGGGGCTCCCTGTCTGTGGAATAGGGTATTTCCCCTCCCACCATCAGCACTACTTAAAAGCATACAGAGTTGACAAAGAATTTCCTGTTTCGCTCAGCTCTGGACAGTCTAGATCTGCTTCAGTAACCAATAAGAAGAGAACATGGTGCAGTCACTGCAGCCAAGCCCAGGAAACACAGCTATTCTGCCTATTGTACTGCTTTCCTGCAAGGGTGGGATGGAGCACCTGCTTGCACTGGGGAGGGAAAGAAGGCTGCAGCCATTGTAGCAGAAAACAGTCTGGCAGGCCAGTCACAAGACCCAAAGCTGGTCCTCAAATCTATCAACAGGCTGTGGGTTAGGGTATTTCCAAAGTCTTACAATATTTGTTTGGTTGATTGGTTTGGTTTTTAGTTTTGTTTTATTTTAGTTTTTTTCACTTAGATAAATACTCATTCAATGGAGAAGTAAGACTGTTACAAGTACTCAAACCTGACTTGAGGACTTCTGACCTGAGCACACTAAAATACCATTAAAGCATGAGACACTGCCCTCACTCAGCTCTGAAAAGTAATTACATTAAACTTTCACCTTTGGGACCAGACCAAGTAGGACAGTCTCATGCTCTGCAAGCTGCATGTATTTTCAAAGTAGGTAAAGGGGTAGTTTAGATTGCTGCTTAGCATTTGCTTAGCCCAAATTGCCTATTTGAATCTTTATGCTCAGGAGAAATGCAATAGGGATAGGGGTAGGGGAGGATATAAAATGAGAAGTGGAGAACTATATGATAGCATTCATGATGAATGATACGGATGTAGTGGGAGAGAGAGAGGAGGAGGAGCTACATCCATGAGCTCTGAGAGTACTCCTCTTAGCAGCACTTGGAACCAAGGCAAGAATAAATTGTTCCTTATCTACCCTACAGTCCTATATATTGCTAAACAAACTTTCCAAATAATCAGAATGAAACCACAGATAATCATGAAACCTGATTTAGTATTTAGTATTTTCAGGCCTTGCTCTGCAATTATAAGGTGAAGATTAAGCTTTTAAATGAAATGCTGTGTTTTGCACTAAACATTCCACGGTTTGGAGGAGTTTGGGTTTAGAAAAGAGATGTTACCATCATGAGTACCCTGATAAAAATGTGTAAAAAGCAGCCAGAAGAGGCAAACTCCCTGGGAGGGGACAAAATCCTTATAACCCAAGTCAATGCACATCCTGACCTTGTCAAAGCTACAGATGCACACAAATCAGAGAAACATTATCTGAGTGCCCCATGCCATTTATTCGACCCAATAGTATTTTAAAAAAACAAAAAACAAAAAACAAAAAAACAAAAAAAACACCCCAAACACCAGTTAGCTACAACCCCAAATCTATGCTTAAGTTTACTTCAGTCCCTGCTCCTCCCACTAATATCCTCTAACTGCTCTTCTGTAGGGGAAAAAAAAACAAGCAAACACCAAACAAGCAGCAACATTTCAGCAACCTACCTGATATTTTCATTGAGGGTGTAAAGTTCATTTTTCTGCAAGCCTCTCCCTTTGAACACATTTAGCACTGCTGTTTGAACACTGCCAAAAAAAGAAATGTGACAGACATCAGTAAACAACAGCCGCCAGTATGATTTAACTTAAATAATTCTACTCTTTCTCCCCCTCCCATTGCTTTTCCAGTTGCCATTTCTGCATGACATACACTGCAGACAGCATTTGACTGTCAATAGGAAATGCTGGTAGAAGCCACAAGCTTAGCAGTTGTCAGAGGAACTTGATTGTGGTAAAAGCTTCATAATACATAAATAAATGCCTGTTGTGCATTAAGAAACTGGCCTTTCTTACAGAACTAAGAATGTGTTTTCCTAAATGGTACATAAAAGATGCAATTGTTGACTTCAAGATAGTACTTCTGAACAACGTTGGCCAAAAACTAGGCTGAACACTTCTAGGTCTAATTTTTTCAACTCCGTGTAGGCTTTCAATGCTGGCAAAGCTCAGCCATGCCAAAAAGTAACGCATGCTTATAAATAGATGAGCTTAGCCATTAATAGCCTGAAGCATGAAGATCAGACACACAAGGCCCTTATCACAGGCTGTTGCAGGGCAAGAGCTCAGTCTGGGTGGGTCCTGCTCACCTGTTCCAGGCAGAGCTGGAGCTGAGCTGCAGAGCCTGTCGGGCAGCCTGGAACCTCGGCAGGTCACTGAGGACTGGGGAGCTCATGAAGCGAGGTCGAGGCCTTCTGAATGAACCCATTTTATGGAACTGGAGAGCAAAGGATGGCTCTACAATGAATCCTCCAATCATAGGCTCAGGTGGAGTGGAGCAGGGCCACCAGAAAGTCTCTTCTCTTGAAGGTCCAAGAGTCAGTCTCAGTGATGTCAGTGACCCAAGGACTCAGCCTGTACCAAAAACAAAGGGTCAGCTTTGGACTAGTAGTTCCACACAGTGTCAGGTTGTGACATGGATATATGCTACAAGATGATGAAGGAATTTATGTAGTCCTGCAAAGTGAAGTGAAGTGAAGTGAAGTGAAGTGAAGTGAAGTGAGAGAAGAGAAGAGAAGAGAAGAGAAGAGAAGAGAAGAGAAGAGAAGAGAAGAGAAGAGAAGAGAAGAGAAGAGAAGAGAAGAGAAGAGAAAAGAAAAGAAAAGAAAAGAAAAGAAAAGAAAAGAAAAGAAAAGAAAAGAAAAGAAAAGAAAAGAAAAGAAAAGAAAAGAAAAGAAAAGAAAAGAAAAGAGCAAGACAGGCAAGGGAGAACTGAAAATATTTAATCAATTTGCTTAACAGCAAATCTGTGCAAATCATCCGGAGTTCTTCAACAGCAGTTCCCTTTCCCATCTTGCCCCTTAAATACTGAGCCTGCACAGCCAGCCACAAATACAAGAGAACAGAGAGACAATGGTCTCTCCATTTCAGTTAGCAGACATTCAAGAAGAGAGGTGCCTAAACTCTTCTGCCAGACACACTTCACGAATGCTTTTAAATACAGTTAACCTTTCAGCCTCTATAAAATAGTAGACGCAAAAGAAAAATAAACCTGTTTCACCAGAAAGGAAAAAAAAAGATGAGCAACAGAAAAAAAAAATATAAAAATGAATAGACAAACACAATGTTGTTCTTTTTTTTCCCTGCAAAATGAGAATTGCTAGTCCAAGTATGAAATGCCCACATTTTTTACTCTGATAATCATCTCCACATAGATGAATATGTAGCCTCAAGTAAAACACAAGTAATAGAAGAAGTTAGCTTGGATGAAAACCACAAAAAAAACTTAGGCAAAGCTTCTGTAGTTCTAAATCTTCCCAATTCTAACAAATACAAGCAGTAGATGTAGCTGGAAGTTTGAAAAACAGAGCTGTGGGAGAAAGGAGAGAGAAGGGGGAAAAAAAAAGAAGAAGAAAAGCTGTATAACTGAACCACACACAAAAAAATGTGAAACAAAATATTCTCTTTTCCACTACATCTTCAGCATGAGGTGAAAGGAGAGATGATCAGCCAAGAAATGTTGTGTATCTGCACAGTGGCATTTAGCAGGCTAGCAAGCAGTGATTAAGATGCCTGTACTAGCTCACAAGTCTCCACCTATCTCTATTCCAGGTGCTGTAAGTACATACAAGTATCTTTCTCCTCAGCAATAAAATGATTTTATAAAGTTGCAGTTATATTAATTTGAGCTAGATTAAGTTGCAAGGGGAAGGCTTAAATTTGGAAATGGCCACCCTGAAGGCAAGCTAGTCACCAAATGGTATCCAAACATAATTGACCCTCATGTTATCCAAACTGGAAATGCCAAAGTCTATGAGAAGGACCATATTTACCCCATACTCACAGCCCATTAAAACTATTTTTGGAGCTTTATAAAGCTTGAAGTAACAGTTCATTTACTGGAAAACAGACTTTTGGCACAAGCAGTTTGCAGATCCTGTGAACCTGAAGCAAAACAAAGAAGAAACACTCTCACCATTGATTATAAAAGACAGGAAGATCTGCAGACTAAAGTGCAGCAACTGCATAAGAGATCCAGCCACACCAAGATAATTAGAAATTATAGAATGGTTTGGATTTGGAAGGGACCTTAAAGGTCATCTAGTTCCAACCCCCCTGCATGGCAAGGACACCTCCCACTAGATCAGATTGCTCCAAGTCCCAACCCATACATGAATATAAATAACAGGATGAGTGGGCGTGAGTGCCAGCTGATCATTGAGCTCTGCCTGGGTGAGTGTAGCATGGTTAAGGAGCATGAACTGGCCTTTTCAGTGCAGTACAGGGGTGTGGGACCACAGTTAGGGTGGCCAAGGCAGAAATACTTCTGTTGACTTGCCACGGCCCTATAGGACCCTAGCAGCAGGCAGAAAAATCATAGAATCATATAATGGTTTGAGTTGGAAGGGACCTTAAAAGTCATCTAGTTCCAATTCCCCTGAATGGGTAGGGACACCTCACACTCAACCAGGTTGCTCAAAGCCCCATCCAGCCTGCCTTGAACGCTTCCAGGGAGGGGGCTTCCACAACTTCCCTGGGCAACCTATTCCACTGTCTCACCACCCTCACAGCAAAGAATTTCTTCCTCAGATCTCATCTCAATGTCCCCTCTTGCAGCTTGTCTAAAACCATTACCAATTGTCCTATCACTGTATGTCCTTATATAAAATCCCCCTCCACATCTCTTGTAAGCCTCCTTCAGGTACTGACAAGCTGCTATAAGGTCTCCCCAGAGCCTTCTCTTCTCCAGGCTGAACAACCCCAACTCTCTCAGCCTGTCTTCATAGGAGAGGTGTTTCATACCTCTGATCATCTTTGTGGTCCTCCTCTGGATTCACTCCAACAGCTCTATGTCCTTCCTGTGTTGGGGGCTCCAGAATTGGACACAATACTCCACTTGTGGTCTCATGAGAGCCAAGTAGAGGAGTATCACCTCCCTCAACCTGCTGGCCACACTTCTTTTGATGCAGCCCAAGATACAGTTGGTTTGCTGGGCTGAAAGTGCACACTGCAGGCTCACATTGAGCTTCTCATCAACCAGCACCCCAAGTCCTTTTCCTCAGGGCTGTTCTCAATACATTTTCTGTCCAGGTTGTGATTGTGCTTTGGATTGCCCCAATCCAGGTACAGAATCTTGCACTTGGCCTTCTTGAATTTTGTAAAGTTGGCATGGGCCCACCTCTCAAGCCCCTCAAGGTTCCTCTGGATGGCATCCCTTCCCTCCAGTGTGTCAGCCACACCACAACACTTGGCATTGTCAGCAAACCTGCTGAAGGTGCACTCAATTCCACTGTCCGTGTCACCGACAAAGATGTTAAACAGCGCCAATCCCAATACTGACCCTTGAGGAACGCCACTCATCGCTGGTCTCCATTTGGACATGGAACTGTTGACTGCTACTCTGACCGCTGACACAATGGTCAAAAAAAAGCTCCTGGGGCAGTGCTTTTTCGTGGTATCAGGGCATTTCAAACTGCTTGCCAGCTGATAAAACATTCCCCACTCTCCTCTCCTCATTTCACTCAATGACCTGGCGTGTCTTTTTTTTTTTGCAAGAACCTTATCATAACATAGGTATTGCTCTTCCTTCCCTTCCCTTGGTCTTTTTTTTCTCTTTGATTATAATTTCAAAACCCAGCTATCAAAACCCTCTTGATCTCTAACATGTCTGTCATCTGTGTAAAACCCAGGTTTTCGAGTAAGCAAACTCTTCAGAGCTGAAAGTCAATGTTCTCAACTGGGGGATAAAATCAGAATGATGAGTTAAACTGACACCAATGTATTTTCATCCACTTTCATTCATCACATCTGAGTAAATACTTTAAGGTTAATCTGAATGTTTAAAGACAAGAATCAAACACAGAAAGACAGGCATTTATAAAAAACATGACAGTCATCAAGCCAGGGATTTCTTATTGTTTGTTTTCCGTTAACCATGAAAACCAACAGAGAAATAATTATAAAACTATTTCATGAAAAAACCTTTCTCTCCCAACAGATCATAATACATCTGACTGTTTGGAGGAAAAGCAAGATAAGGCAATATACCTAGATCCATCTCTCTTTACCAAAGAAAGAATAACCTGAAGAAAAAGTTGGCAACAATTCCTCTAAATTATGAATCTTCATTATAATCTTGGGCCAAACAAGCAAAAAGTCCAAGGTAACTGAGATTTAACAAAAGAACAGGCCCTTTTAAATTCCTCTGATGCCTTCTCTGCAAGACTCAACAACATCTGCTAACGGAAGTGATAGGGCAGTAAAAACTTAAACGTCTTTTGCTTCTTAGAAGAAAATTTGCACCAATGCTACTTCACACCAAATTCACACCAAAAAGCCATGAGTGAAAAGTAACTTTCAACCAGATGTCAATGGAGTGAAAGGCAGAGTGAAGTAATCACAGGATTACTCCAAATGAGCTTTTTCAAAGTCTCCTGAAACAAAGGAACAGAGGATGGGGGGTTATCCAGATATGTGATGTTTTACCATCTAAATATTTCTTAGTTATAAAAATCAACTCCCTTCATGAAGATAGATATTTACTTGCCCATTTTCCATCCCTTATATGCTTTGCATAATTGTGACAGTGATGACTTATGACCATAAAATACATAAATTGCAACACATGCCAGAACTTTTTTTAATGATTTTGTGTGTGGAAGAAGCATAATATTAAGAAAAATTCCACACTTGCACGAAGTCTAGACACCCATTATGAGCAGATTTATCCTACCTCAGACCCAAAAAATACGTTGAGACCTGTTTAGATTCTTCTTAGACAACTCTACTTCCAGCCCAGAAAATCCTTAACAAAGTGTGTGATTGTCAAAATCCCTGATTCAAATTCAACTGACAAGAGCTGAAGGCACTATTTCTGACACAAATTCCTCATTTATTTGCTACACAGCCATGCTTAGAAGTGGAAAACCAGCTCACAACCTGTCACTTCAAGTCTTTTAGGTCATCACTACTATATATGAACTTAAGTTTATATTCTAAGAAAACACAGACAGCATTTGATATTGTTAAATTTACAACACATTCAATTCCTCTTATAGCCCTGAATTGCTCAGTTTCTTAAAAATAAACAAGGTCTGCTTTTCAGAAGGAGACAAGGTTATCAAATTGAGATTTATTCAATAACTAGCAGTTGTTTTTCTGGTTAACATTGATTAGAAGCTGTGCCTTAGATGTATGTCAGAAGTTATTGTAAGCAAGAGTGTAAAAAAAAAAAAATGGGAGGCAGTCTAGTGCCCAATCTCATGGCATGGTCCTTTCTACACCCTCATCTTTTCATGCCTTCACACCTTTGGAAATCTGACTCAAGAAAATTTGATTGCTTAGTCCACAGCCGATCAAAAACAATAGGAATCTAAATATTGATGATGATAACAGGGTTTAAGTCAAGCCTGGAAACAGCAAGGAAAACTGCAGGTGCTTTGTCTTGTAAGCAGTTGCAGACTTTGAAAGATAGCTTCTTCTACCCATATGCCAACACCACTTGTTTCTGTAATTCCACCAACAAAACCAGTTCAGAAATTTTGCAATATGAAACTCCAATGAAGCTATGAACAGGGATTGCAGGCCATAGGCACACTCAGGGTCCATACTCCTACTCTTCAGCACAACAGCAGGATCCAGACATGAAGGACAGTGCTCCGTTCAGCTGTGCCCCAGATGCTGTACCATGGGGGAATGCAAAGTGCTTCTTCAAGCTCTCTGTGCAGGTTACAGAAATATCCCATCCAGGCTCAGACCGAAGTGGACATGTCTCTCAGTCCTACAAAGCACAACTTTCATCAAGAGCAAGAATAATTATCTCCATTTTTTGGCTGAGGAAATGAAGTTGCAAAGATGGTGGGGAAAAAAAAAGGAGAGTTTATGGCCATTGGAAAAAGGGGCAGGCTACTCAGGATGACTACAATGATGTTGTGAGGCTGTGCAGGGAGAAAATCAAAAGGGACAAAAAGCCTAGCTAGAAATCAATCTGGCGGCAGCAGTCAAAGGCAACAAGTAATGCTGCTAAATATAATAACAACAAAAGGAGGGCAAAGAATAATGTCTGTCTTCTCCTGGATGGAGGGGGAAACATAGAGACAAAGGATGAGGAAATGTCTGAGGTACTTCATGCCTTCTTTGCTTCAGTCTTTAATAGCAAGACTAGTTGCTCTCCAGGCACCCAGCCCCATAAGCTTGAAGACAGCGATAGAGAGCAGAACGGAATCCCCATAATCCAAGGGGAAATGGTTAGTGACCTGCTACACCACTTGAACACACACTACTCTACAGGGCCAGATGGGATCCTCATAAGGGTCCTGAGAGAGCTGGTAGAAGTGCTCTGGCCAGCAGGAACAGGGAAGTGATTGTGCCCCTGTACTCTGCACTGGTGAGACCACACTTCAAATACTGTGTTCAATTTTTGGGCCACTTACTACACGAAGAATATTGAGGTACTGAAGCAAGTCCAGAGAAGGGCAACAAAGCTGATGAAGGGTCTGGAGAACAAGTCTTATGAAGAGTGTCTGAAGGAACAGGGGTTGTTCAGTCTCATCTCTTTCCCCTAGTAACAAACAACAATATAAGATTAAATGTCCTCAAGTCATGTCAGAAGAGGTTTCGATTAGGCATTAGAAGAAACTTCTTCACTGAAAGGATAATTAAACAGTGGATTTGGCTGCCCAGGGAGGTGATTGAATCACCATCCCTGGAGGTGTTTAAAAGATGTTTAGATGTGGTGCTTAGAAACACAGCTTAAGCACTGGACTTGGTAGAGTTAGGTTAATCATTGGTAGAGTCAGGTTAATGGTTGGACTTGATGATCTTAAAGGTCTTTCCCAACCAGAACAATACTGTGATTCTGTGCGATTCTGTGATTCTATGAAGTGAGTTACCTGGGTCTTCCACCTCCCAGGACAGGATCCTATTCACCATAGAATACCCCTCTAAGCATTTTAATGTAGCTTTTCAAATTATTCCACAGTGTTGGAGAGAACGAGGATTCATCTGTGCTAACACATTTCCTTTCCAAAGCTGACTCAATATCAAAAGGTATCAATTTTTTAAATTATTATTCTTTTGCTGGGCTACTCCACCATGAAGGCAGCAACTTGATGCCTCACAAATAGTCTAGAGGTGTCCTGCTGGCTTCAGCTATCCTTAATTAAACTTGATAGATTTTAACTATCAAGATGAATGTGTAAAATAAGTTATATCAACAGAATACGGCTTCACCAAGGGCAAATCCTGTGTGATTCATTTGGCAGCCTTCTACAACGGGTTCACAGCATCAGTGAATAAAGGAGGAGCAACCAACGCCATCTATTTGACCTGTGCAAAGCTTTCAACACTGTCCTGCATGACATAACAGTATTGAAACTGGAATGATATGGATTCAGCTGCTGGGTAAGGAACTGGGTGGATGGTCACACTCAATGCTTTGATGTTTAGGTGGAGAACCTGTTACAAGTGAGTGGTGTTCTCCCAGGGTCAGTACTCAGACTGGTACTATTTAACATCTTTGTCCGTGACATGGACAGTGGCATTGCGTACTCTCAGCAAGTTTGTCAATGACACCAAACTGTGTGGTGAGGTCAACATGTTGGAAGGGAGGGATGTCATCCAGAGGGACCTTGAAAGGCTTGAGCAAGGGACTTGTGCAAACTGCATGAAGTTCAACAAGACTAAATGCAAGGTCCTGCACATGGGTTGAGGCAATCCCAAGTACAAATACAGAGTGGGTGGAGAATGGATTGAAAACAATCCAGAGAAGGACTTTGGGGTGATGGTGGATAAGAAGTTCACCATGAGCCATCAGTGTGCACTTGCAGCCCAGAAAGCCAGCTGTGTCCTAGGCTGCATCATAAGAAGCGTGGACAGCAGGTCGAGGGAGGTGATTCTCCCACTTTACTCAGCTCTTGTGAGACCCCACCTGTAGTACTGTGTCCAGTTCTGGAGCCCCCAGAATAAGAAGGACATGGAGCACCTGGAGCAAGTCCAGAGGAGGGTCACAGAGATGACTGGTGGGCTGGAGCACCTCTCCTATGAAGACAGGCTGAGAGATTTGGGGTTGCTCAGCCTGGAGAAGACTCTGGGGAGACTTCATAGCAGCCTTCCAGTATTTGAAGGGGGCCTACCAGGAAGCTGTGGAGGATTTTTTTACAAGGGCTTGTAGTGAGAGGACCAGGGGTAATGGCTTAAAAATGGAGGAGGGGAGATTTAGCTAGGACATTAGGAGGAAATTCCATAGTGTGAGGTGGTGATACACTGTAACAGGTTGCCCAGGGAAGTTGTGGAAGCTCCCTCCCTGGAAGTGTTCAAGGGCAGATTAGATTGGGCTGTGAGCAACCTGATTTATTGGGAGGTGACCCTCCCCATGCAGTGAGGTTGGAACTAGACGATCTTTAAGGCCCCTTTCAACTCAAAGCATTCTATAATTCTATGATTTTATGGATATGGGAAAACAGCCCTCTCAATACTAAGTGTTGACACTCTGGTATGCACTCATATATCCAGCAAGTGTACAGATACTCTTTGACTACTCAAAATATCTCACATTCCCTTTTTTCTTAGTACACGCTCATCTTCACAATGAGACCCTAGCATCCCTGCCATACTCCCCCATCTTTTTGAGATTCCCTCTTCAAATTGAGCCCACATAATGTCTTTATTCATAATACATTTCAAACAAATTCACAAACAGATCTAACTTGACTTTGATAGCAGAGCCATGCAACATTTGAAAAAAAAAAAAAACAAAAAAACAAAAAAACACCTCAGTGGTTTCCACTTAGTTATGCTTTGAGTTCCTGAGGTTAAAGCAAATCTGAAACTCAAAGTGAAACTCTGCTAAGACTAAGAGGAACTGTATGATAAGAGGAACGGGGAAACGTTTTGCACTTATCCCACCATGGTCTGAGAAGCTTCTCTGGAATTCAGAGACCACTGCAACCCCTTTGTACTTGATGGCCAGTTAGAAGTAAGACTGCTCCTTCATATCTATATACATGACAGTACAATTTCTTATAAAAAAATGCAACAAATCAGCAGCAGCACAAAGCAAGCCAGTTCAATGTGATCAGGTCACAGCATATCCCATACTGAAAAAGATATTTTGTAACAAAGGAGTAGCATCTAAGATGACAAAGTTATTTTGTTCTCCATCACAGGTTTTCTGTGTTACTTCAAAAATATTAGTTAATTCTTCCAGCTCACATAATTCAAAAATGGAAAAAATTGTTATGACCATTAAAAGATGCTACATGTTTGCAAAACACTCTGAAAAATGCTTGGGTAGAGAATAGAGAAGAACACTTCATTAGAATCAGTTAGTTGATCAGCATGAAGTCGGAGAGAAATTTGAATTAGATGCACAAACAACTCATTCATTTGCCCAGGTAAAGGAACTCCTCTGCTTAGTGACAGAGCTCTAGAAGGAACTGAGTAGTTTGAGGGGAGTGTGAGAGAGAGATGTACTACTGGAATCTACCTTCCCTGCCACAGATCCAGTAGACAGGCAGGATGAATGATACGGAGGATTCCCTATCTTTTCTCTGCCTAGCTAAACACAGTGACCGAAAGGACTGGAAGCAACAAGTCCCTGACTGTGGCTTAACAGGTATGAGGGTCTGCAAGTGGCACCAAACAATGAGAAGGACAAGTGTTCCTCTAGCTTGGAGGTGTCACCGAGGTTGTCAATCTACAGCCTGCATCATCAAAACTGCCTCCATAAAGAAAAAAAGGACAAGTCATTTTCATCGAAGACTCCCTTCTGGAGGGAACAGAAGGCCCAACACACAGAATGGGCACAGTTCCTAGTCTGCTGCCTCCCTGGGGCCTGGGTTAGACACGAAAAGAAAGCCCCTACCCTGATGGGTATAATAATCTTCAGATCATTATCTATTAGTGATTTTTCAGGGAGGCAGCAATAAAATTGTTACAAAAAGTCCAGGGGCAATTCAAAGAGATTTCAAGACCTCGGAACTGGGCTGAGGGATCAGGAACACAAGTGGTGTTCTCTTCTACCCCTCCAGTTGCAGCAAATGATGAGAGAAGGAACAGGAAGAGCCAGCAGAACAATACCTAGCTCTAAGTCTGGGATCACCAGAAAGATTCTGTTTCGTTTCTTTTTATCACAGGTCAGTTTACATGACACCAGGGCTGCTGGCAACAGACAGGGTACACCTGTATCAAAGTGGAAAAAGGATTTTAGCATAGGAGTTACTAGGGCTCATCAACAGAGCTTTAAAGTAGATTTGAAAGGTGAAGGGGATACAATCAGGCTCACTAGAGATAAGTCTGGGGGTGGCATGCCAATGTTTGTGGGATCATGTGCTAGCAAGGTCCTTCAGTCTGCTCTCTCAGTGAAGGCAGGAGATGGAGAGCCATGCAGTAGCAAATGCACCAGGATTATTCATGGCTTTGAAATTGTTGAAGCACCTGAAAGCGACCAGGTAGGAATTTGGACTTCTCCCCTCAGAAAGATGGTGGCATCAACAGCTCAACTGAAATGCATCTACACTGTTGAGTGCTCATGGGTAAGAATCAGGGGGAAGGCCAGTTACACAGGTTACACAGGATGGGAATCTGTTACAGACCACCCAACCAGGATGAAGAAGCAGACGAAATATTCTATAAGCAACTGGAAAAAGTCTCTTGATCACTAGCCCTTCTTCTCATGGGGGACTTCAACTTAGCAGATATCTGCTGGAAATACAACAGAGAGGAAGCAGTCTAGGAGGTTCCTGGAGCATGTGGAACACAACTGGTGAGTGAGACAACTAGGGAAGGTGCCCCACTGGGCCTGCTGCTTGTGAACAGAAAAGGACTTGAGGGTTGGAGGCCATCTTGGCTATAGCAAACACAAAATCATAGAGCTTTTGATTCTCAGAGGAGTAAGTAAGATGGTAAGCAGAACCACTACCTCGGGCAGACTGACCTGTTTAGGAGACTTGTTGATGGAGTCTCTTGGGAGGCAGTCCTGAAGGACAAAGCAGTCCAGGAAGGCTGGATGATCTTTAAAAAACTTAAAGGTGCAGGAGCAGGCCGTGCCTATGTGCCAAAAAAACAAGCCAGTGGGGAAAACCAGCCTGGCTGAACAGAGAATTTTGGCTGGAACTCAAGAAAAAAACAGAAGGTTTATGGCCTCTGAAAGAAGAGGCCAGCAACTCACAAGGACTACAGTTGTAGTTAGGCTACACAGGGAGAAAAGTAGAAAGGCCAAAACCCAGTTAGAACTTAATCTGTCTACTGCCATAAAGCAAATACAAGGAGGTCAAAGAATAATGTTATAGGATGCTGGGGGAAACACAAAGACAAAGGATGAGGAAAAGTCTGAGGTACTTCATGCCTTCTTTGCCTCAGTCTTCAATAGCAAGAGCAGTTGTTCTCTGAGTACCCAGCTGGAAGACAATGACAGGGAGCAGAACAGAGCCCTCATAATCCAAGGGGAAATGGTTAGTGACCTGCTACACCACTTGGACACACATACTACTCTATGGAGTTAGATGGGATCCACCTAAGGGTCCTGAGAGAGCTGGTAGAAGTGCTCAATGCACCACATTCCATGACAAGGTCCTACATAATTGGAGGTTAGTGAATGTGACCCCCATTTACAAGAAGGGCCAGAAGGAGGATCCAGGAAACTACAGGCCTGTTAGTCTGACCTTGGTGCTGGGGAAGGTTATGAAGCAGATCATCTTGAGTGTCAGCATGCAGCATGTGCAGGACAACTGGGTGATCAGGTCCATTCAACATGGATTCATGAAAGGCAGGTCCTGCTTGACAAATCTGATCTCCTGTGACAAGGTGATCCACCGAGTGGATGAGGGAAGAGCTGTGGATGTTGTCTACCTCGACTTTACTAAAGCCTTTGATACATTTTCCTACAGCATTCTCTTGAAGAAAATGGCATGTCATGGCTTGGATGAGTGTTTTGTTCATTGGGTAAAAAAACTGGCTGGCTGACCAAGCCTGAAGAGTTGTGGCAAATGGAGTTAAACCCAGCTGGTGATTAATCACAAATGGTGTTCCCCAGTACTGGGCTCAGTACTGGGGCCAGTTTTTATTCATATCTTTATCAATGATTGGGATTAAGGGAATGAGTGCACCCACAGTAAGTCTGCAGGTGTCTAGCAGGAGTAGAGAAGGGATTGTGCTGCTGGTGAGGCGGCACCTCAAATACTGTGTTCAATTTGTAGGAAATATGGCTATTAAATTGAATTAGCAAAAAAAAGACTCCTATATGAGCTTGAGTATGCTTGAACTTCTCTGTCAACCCTTGGCACTGCCAATTTGCAGCTATTATCCATATAGTACTCAGTGCAATGCACCATACCTGACATGGCAGCTATTTCAGTCAGAGATTCAGGGCATCTCCATCATAAACAATCATGGAATAATTTACATCTGAAAAAGTTTCTTCCTAACTTTACTGAAAAGCAGCTGTTTTTTGACAGAAGTCCAAGAATTTTCCTCTGTCTAAATATGTTCTAGATGTTCACAGCACCAAAACCTTAGAAAGAACGCCATACATTGTCTAAGAACTCTGTATCAAGAGCATACATTGTTTAGATTGCTGTGAAATTTTAATTTACTTGGGATGTGAAGTCTGCTTTTTCTTGTGTTTGGAACAACATATTTTTTTAGTTCAGGACTTTGATAGCACTTTTAAGTTAATGAATCTCTTACATGTAATAGCTGAAAAAAAAGAAAGGTTGCAAACCTAGAGGAATCTCTCAGCACTCAGCCTATGCTACATCCTTCACATGGCTGTAAAATAGCTGGCATAACTTGCTGCACATATTTTAGCTATAGATCCAAAATTCTAACAAAGTTCTTCAGAGGGGTGAGAAGACAGTATTTTACCCCTAGCTATGTGGTTCACTAAGTTTCAGTAAGTTTATCAGGAGAGCACAATATCGGGTCTCCATTATCTCTTTATAGATTAGGGACTGATTAGCACAGTGGGACTGTGCTATCTGTTTTAGAAAAAAAAAACAACTATGTAGGCTACACATCAGCCTCTGTGTCTTGTGCATACTGCTTTACCACGAAATAAGATCTTTGGGTATATATATTAAATATGCATGCACATACAGTACAATATGCAAGATGTAAACAGCTCTTGCAATGCTGATCCAGGTACTGATGAGTACTGAAACCTTTTAAATCACAAAGCTGCAGCATTGCCTATAAATATGCTCAGCACTTGTTGCTGACCAAAAAATCCCCTAGTCGAGACAGCCCACTTGTATGAACAAATCATCATCTGACTGGAAAAAGGCAGGGAAAAAACCAGCAGTGCTGTAGGACTATTCAGGATACAGAGCCAGGAGCTGCGTTGACTGGTGTCACTGCTGGCATGATGTGAAGCTATGGCTGACGTCA